ACTGTGAAACAGTATAGATAGTGTTGCTTTCTGAGTCAACACTAACCTCATAAATTTAATTTGGAAACTAGCTAGGGAAGACTGACAGTAGCCAAGTCTCAAATGCGGCCTTACACCCAAAACATGTGGACCGAGACTGGGCTGTTCAGAATCAGTGCTTTGGGAGTAATGGTGACTACAAAATTACAACTGGCTAGTCCAGAAGCTTCTAGCAGCAGGAGAAGAGGCTCTTTGCAGAGAAATAAGTTCACATTGTCATATCCCAAAGGTTTATGATTAGCTCTGTAGGGATGTGAGGTTCCTCACTGCAAAAAGAAAGTCAAACAAGAAGGTTCAAGGATCCATTTAAGCAAAGACTGCATTGTGCAAAAGCAGAAGCCAAGTTTTTAAGGAAACTAACTCCAGGTTCTTTATTTAAAAGATGTATGCTTAAAAGAGCTACAATCTGGGGTCCTTACAGCATCTGATTTTCAGAGAGAGAGAGAGAGAGAGAGAGAGAGAGAGAGAGAGAGAAACTAAATGGCATAAATAGCATCCTGCATTTGGCACTCCCCTCTTTATTTTCAGACAATTCTCTGGGACAGATGAATGGTTCCTTTAAGTCATATTTTATTTATGAAGTTCTTTAAACACATTTCTTTTTTCCCCTTCCAAGTAGGCATCAAAAAAAAAAAAAAGAATAACAGTGCTCACGGCATGATGAATATATTATGAAATAATATATTAATCTCAGCCAAAGTTTTCAATAGGAAATTTCCGTTGGTCAAAGATCCTGGGACGGAACTCACTAGCCCACCGACCCTGAAGAGAGGCACCCATCAGAGCTTTGGGGTGGAACAGTTGTTCTTTGGAATACTTACTGGAGTAGGAGTCAGGAATTTGCAGAAAATGTGTTTGGGAGGAAGTTGTCTATGCCAGGGATTCTATTCTTTTCTTCATTTCATGTTTTACCACCTTGATGACATTCTTCTTTATGTATTACTGTTACTCAATTATTGATAATAAAATCACCCAACCACACACATTCAAACAAAAACTAACCTTGAATGAATACCTAAAGTTCATCAGCCCCATAAACAGCTCTTAATTTTGACTTCCATATTTCTATTTAAGTAATCTAAACGTTGAAAAAAAATCTCTTCAAGAAATCACCTAGGTTTGAACTTTCAGGCTCTCTTCTTTCTCTGTATCCCACAGCATGAAATTTTCCTTGATACTCCTTCTGAAATGCTACCTACAACTGCAGCCTCTCTCCAAGATTACTTCCCCCACCCTAAGCTGAGTCCTCATGCCCACGTGGACCACTGTGTTGGCACTTCGATTTAAACTTTATTCCTGTGATGGTCGTTTATGTCATGCAAATATTCAGTCTTCTGCCTTCTGGGCACACGGTAGGATCGCACTTCTTGACCTCCTTGTGATTAGGTGGGACCTTGTTACCGGTTTTGGTCAATGAAATGTGAAAAGTGACATCTGTCACTTCTGTGCCAGAACATTCCATTGCACTTTCCGTCTGCCCCAATAAGCAGCAACTTTTGTTGAAAGTGGGGTAAAGGGATAAAGAGATTTGGAGCAATGTCTCCAGTCGGAGCAAGAAATAAGTCTCAGGGGACTTCCCTGGCGCTCCAGTGGTTAAGACTCTGCACTTCCACTGCAGGGGGCACAAGTTCAACCCCCGGTCAGGGAACTAAGATACTACATGCATTGGGGTGCAGACAAAAAATAAATAAATAAAAAGCAAGAAAAATAAGTCTTGTTATAAGCCGTTAAGATTCAGGGTTACAACCATAGCATAACCTAACTTATGCTGATTGATACACTCCCACCATCCATCTTTTTTTTTTTTTAAATAAATTTATTTAGTTATTTTGTCTGTGTTGTGTCTTCATTGCTGTGCGAAGGCTTTCTCTAGTTGCGGTGAGTGGGGGGCTACTCTTCATAGTGGAGCACAGGCTCTAGGCGCTTGGGCTTCAGCAGTTGTGGCTTGTGGGCTCGAGCGCAGGCTCAGTAGTTGTGGCACAGGGGCTTAGTTGCTCCACGGCATGTGGGATCTTCCCGGACCAGGGCTCAAACCCGTGTCCCCTGCACAGATTCTTAACAACTGTACCACCAGGGAAATCCCTCCCACCATCCATCTTAAGCACTGTCACCAATTAATCTGGTAGTCACTCCCCTGTCCAAATAACTCATCTCTATCGGAGTACAAACCCCCGAGATTGTCATTCAAGGCTTTTTACACCTTGGACCCAGCCTACTCTGTCAGCCTCACCTCCCCTTCCCCACCAACAGAGGAAATGGGATTCCTAAAAGTTCATGGAATGTGCCCCAGTTTTCTATCTATGTCCTGTTTCTCAAATGCCCACATTGACAACCACACCCAGTATCTTCAACTAATGAAAAATGGGTAGAATTCACAAGTCCCAACGTGGATTTTTTGCTCAGCATTCACCACGTTAACCCAAGTATTCATGTCTTTTCATTAACAGCTAAGAATTGTCCACACCGGCTCTCTCCAGTTCCTTCTATTCCCCCTTCTGGAGCTCCTATTAAACTTGTTAGAGCTGCTTATTTTGTCCTGGACTCCTATGCTCTTTCATATATTTCATCTCCTTATCTCTTTGCTGCATTCTAGGGAATTTCTTCACAATCCATCTTCCAGTTCATCAATTCTCTCTTCAGTTGAACCATCCAGGTTTCCTCCCAGGGCTACAGCATCGGGTGCTGTTTTTCTACTCTGGATTTTAGTTTTTTCTTTATTTATAATGGACCTCTGGGCCTATTTTAAAACTTTCCTGGATGCTCATCTAGGCATTTAATAGATGCCAATTTCACATTACCCAGCACATCTGGGTATTTATGAGTAGACAGACTCCCAAGTTATCTTATAAAAGTCATAGTGCCACAAACAAAAATTTCTAGTATTGTGTTTTGCATACTTTTTATTTGTTGAATAAAGGAGTATTTGTGAATATGTACATAAACACATAGAGCGAGCACTAGATTTAGAGTAAGAATATCTGGGTTCTAATACGCAAAGCCACTTACCAGCTCTGAGGGCTTAGGCCAAGAACTTAATGAGTTCAGCTTCCTCGACTGTAAAACTAGGCTATTAGACCCGTGCAGCCCACCACACAGGTTTATTGCAAGGTTCAAATGCAGAAACATATGAAAAGTGCTATGAATACAACTTAAGAGCAATACAAGTATAAATATAACAAGTAACAGCAATTGAATTTCACGTTGAGGCGTACTTAATCACACCCTCGGGTTATACCGATGTACTGATGGAGTCAATATGAAAGTGACAAAATAGCTGATTGCTAACAAGAATGAATATGCCGCTCTTCTGAGCAGGGAGAATCCTGCAATATCCCATAGCCCATCCCTGCAATGAATCACTCCCTAAACTTCATGAAGATGTCAGCGACCCACCATCAATAACTCTCTCACGGAAGCACAAGGGCCAAACGTCCCACGTTTATTTACATATGAAATGTGTTTAATACAGTTAGGATGGATATGGTTAGTGCATGACACCTGACAGCAGCAAGACCTTTTGAGGAACCGAACGTTGACTACAGTATATCATGCAAGTATATCTATATATACACAAAAGAATTTCTTCTCTTAAAAAAAAAAAGTACAAAACGTGTTTAGGGATAAATACAAGATATAAAATGCAAAAGAAAACACAAAACACAAAACCAAAGAGTATAACTCTCCCAGAGAACTATAAACGTTTGGAAGGGACAGAAGAGTACCTCGGCTGCACTAAGAAAGCGGAACTACCGATGTTAAAGATACTTATTTAAATGGCTGAACTAAACCCAGGTGGCTCAGTGCTGACTTGAACGGCCAATTGCGACATGCCGGCTGCTGCATCAGTAAGGTGGAAGTTGTGCATCCCAAGTCTACTAAGTACCAGGACGTATGGCAGTAGCACCCTGAACAGGAAACGCCAACTCTTTAGACAGCAAAGGGTTAAGTCAATTGTGATTTTTTTTTTTTTCCTGTCAAGAGCCAGAGAAATACTTGATATTTTTAGTTGTGTCTTTGCAATAGTTAATAAATTACATGACAAAAGCTTGACTATATAAATCTATTGGTCTAACTACGTATTTGTAACTTTTACAGTAGTCCAGCCCTTTCGCTGCTATATCTCCTTGTGCTCTTTAGAAGTCAGCCTTGCAAATCGGCCCAGAAAGCCACCGCTGCCCCCAGCCACCCCGCACCCCCGTTTTTTCCCTTTAGGATACCCTTCTTCCCCATTCTGAGATGGAATTAATCCACGTTCCTTACTGGATTTCTGGCCCAAGTTTTCATCCCCCCACTGAGAAAGAAACGATCTGCAAGGCTGCTTTCCACACAGTTTGGCCTGGAGAAGACGCCACACGCCGGGCTGCGGTCCTGGTGGGGCCGGCACTCCCTGGCGGAGCAGGCACGTTGAGGATAGTGCTAAGACACTTAAAAGTCCCTAGTGTTTTTGAGACCTACAATCACCTACGATTTATGTAGTGAATTCTAAAAATTAAAAACACTAAAAAAGGCATTATCGTAGCCTGTAATTAGTTAACCCATTCAAATCCGTGACATACAAAATGGTTTATTTGAATTCAGGAACTGCCCCTGATACTAACAACTGTTTTAAAGAAACAGTACAAAAAGAAAAATTCTAACTCAAATTAAAAAACAAAAAGAACCCAAGAACGAAACAAAAAAAACCTTCAAAACATTTTCCACTAAATACTGATATAAACATGTAACAAAGAGTATAAAAAGTTATTCATTTAAATATATACAAACTCTTTTCAACTCAAATACTGTTTTAATACTTAATCGAGGAGGATATACAGGAGGAGGCGGAGAAGGGAGTGGAAGGAGGATATATTGCAACAGCCTAGACAGTACTGTTAACTCTATGATAACTGCCAACTTTTTGTAAGAAAACTGTCTCTTTGCTTCCAATGTGGACCGGGACTCTCGGCGGGAGGGGTGCGCGGCTATTTCTCCGCTGAGCTCACTCTTTTGGATTTGATGAAGGCCATGCCGTGGGTCCGCATGTGGGCGTTTAAGGCAGCTTCCGTCTCGAACGTCTTTGCACATACTTTGCACGTTCTGTCCGACACGGGGCCGTCGGCCGGCGCGTCCTCTGGGCCAGGCTTGTTCTCCTGCTGGCTCTCCTCGCCGGCCCCGTTCTGCTTAGCCGCTGGCTGCGGCTCCTTCAGTTTGTGGACGATGAAGAGGTGCCGGGACAGGGAGACGTGCGACGTGTAGCAGAGGCCGCACTCGCGGCACTGGTGGGACGAGCCGTCCGACTTGTGCTGCGGAATGTGCTCGTGGAACTGCAGCAGGTTCTCCGTGGTGAAGCCGCACACGGCGCACTTGTGCACCTTGAACACATTGATCTTCAGCTTCTTCAGGGGCTGCGTGATGGCTCCTCGGGGAGGTCTGAACTCTAAAACGGGTTCTTCCAACTTCCGCTTGGGACTGGGAACCTTGGAGAGAAAAACAGAGCAGGTGACGCACTGAAAACCGGTCTCTGGGCGGGTGACGGGCGGTCGGTGCTCGCAGGCTCCGGGGCTGCGGGGAAACGTGTCCCAGGAGCGGGGGGGTGCGGGCTCCTTACGGCTGCGCGGCCGCCGCCCCACCCAAGGGTCGTGCCTTCCAGCCCCCCAACAGAGGTGGACTCAGCTCCGGGATGACCGGGCATCCTCCAACAGCCGGCTTGGTAGGACAGACAGGTCCCAGCCCTCGTGGGACACAGGCGCCAACGGAGTGACGAAGAGCCACGAAGGAGCCAGCGTGCAGCGTGGCAGGGACAGCCTGAGCCAGGCGGCCACACGGGGAAAGGGGCCCAGGAGGCAGGCCAGGGGGGCCGGGGCAGGGCGACCAGGTGAGTGTGCAGATGAGGCCGAGGAGAGGCAGGGGGCGGGCGGACTGAAAAGCACCTCGTGGAGGAGGAGATGTCCGCACCTGTGCTTCTGCCGAGACTCAGGTGGAGCCACCTGAGCCTCACCGGGTCTCCTAAGCGCCCTTTCCTGCCCACTCACCTTCCTCCCACTCCTTCCCCTCTGGCCTCATCAAATCCCCTCCCTTCCAGCTCTCTAAAAAGCCAAGACGAGGGGCCGCCCTGTCCTCCCAGCTCTGCAGCCGTCCTGCTTTTCCGCCTTGACCTAGGGCTGCTCCTGCACATACATTCTTTACTTCCCCCCCCGCCTCCCCATCGCTTGAGGGAAAGGGTTACAATTTAATGCGACACTGAGTCTGACTTGTATTCTGATTTCAACGATTAACTCCTTGAAAGCACACACAGGCTTTTACCCAGGAACGTTCCAGACGCAGCAAAGGGCCAAAGACAGCAGGTCTCCTAAGTGTCTGCTTTACTGCAACAGCACTTGCGACACACACACACCGTGTACTCAGGCTAGTATACGTTCTGTTGTCTGCTTCAAGTTCACTACCTACTGATAAGGCACTATCTTATCTTAATCCTTTATCAGTACAAAGAGAAGCTAAATGGAATCAATTTTGATGACTGAAAGGAGTCTAGATTCATACAATCCCCCGGCTAAGAGACAACTTCTGCGAGTCAACATAAAATTTTATATGTAAGTAGATCAATCCCTAAAGTTGTGTCTGGAAGGATACAGAAGAAACTTAATAAAGGTTACCTTTTAGGAGGCAAGACGAAAGCTCAGAACGAGTGCAGAGAGAGCGTCCCTATTATTTTAAAGTTTTATGCACAGTCTGAATTTTTAAAACTGTGTAACCGTAGAATAACTTAAATGCAGAAAAAAAAATGGCAAAAGCAAGTCACCACAACTTCACTGTAAAGAGAACACGTGCAGTGTTTGACCTTGGTATCTTCTTTTATTTCTGCTTCCTCCTCATTGGTGGCTTCTGTCATTTCTTTCAAGTCAGGATCCTTAATTCCGTGCATGAGTTGGATATGTTTCTCCAGCATTAACCGTTTCGTGAAGGTACGCCTGGAGTCTGGGCAGTGCCTGTGAGGAAAAAGACAAGGAAATAACCTACTTGCTTTAAAGGAACTCACTGAGGCGCACATTCACTGCTGAAAGCCCTCAGCCGGCCGACAGCCCGCTCAGAGGGGCCAGGGTCGTCTGCATGAGTACCACTGGTCCAAAGCGAAAGAGTAATTTTTGCTATGAATCATAGTTTCCAATTGGTAAAAAAAAAAAAAATTCTTGCAGCTTTTGTTAAAAGTTTTCTATCAGTTTTTGTGTCCTTACAGGACCAGCCTAATTTGGGTCAGACGGAGTATTTATTTTCTGAGTTTGGTTAAAGTATTACTTAATTCGTTATTCTAGATGGCTGTAATTTTTAACACGGAGAACATTAAATTTCAAAAGTTTTCTTTCCAGTGACTCAGACGGTTCCCTCAGAATTTACGTCATGAGACACTTTAACAGGAAGAAAGTCCCTGCCTGACTCCTTCACGCTGGTGTTAACGATTCCTGTCCACTCTGCCGTAACACAGACAAGACAGACTGTCTCCCCATCAAATTCCTCATCAAAGCACAAATGCAGTATGTATGGTTAGAACCGCAGCGCTCAAATACAGGTGTTCAGTCAGTCGATTAAAATGTAGAAAACTGTGAACAGATATCCAAAACAGGTCAATTATTTAAATTGTCGTTTCAGCTTGTGCAAAATTATGTTAATTATGATTACAGTTTTTCTTTAGAAGATGTGACTGTATCATTTTCTTAATCAAACAGGCCAAAAACAGGTAAACGAAAGTTAACGACCATGGTGATTACAGATACTCTAAGCCAGATGTCAAGAATACCACTGCAGCGAAGGTGGATGGCAAGTTCCTCATGGCTTATGAAGAACCAAATTTGCTGTCTTCAGAGAGGCTTCTAAGAATTTTATAATGATTGGCTCCAAATTCTGATATCATGTTAGAGACGCTCTACGGGGCAGCAGTGGGAGCCAGCAGCAACTCCAAAGAACAAACGCAATTAGCTGGACAATCCTGGCATTTTACTGCCTCACAGGCACTTCACGAGGAAGTGAACACACCTGTTAGAGGAAGGACTGTGCCATCCACGCCAGCACTCCTGTCCATTTTCTCAGCCCAGGGTTTCCTCCTAAATTCACTGATTCTTTCAATGCAGTCTCAACATACAGACTGTATTTACAGAATGTCCTCATCTCACCAAAATCACTCCCAGCTTCAATTTCACGGAAGGAGGGTCCCTGTTTTCCTACCCTAGAAACACTCCCTAACTAACACCCAAGAAACACTCCCTAACTAACCAAGACACAGCAAAGCCCCGGCGATCTGGAAGCCGACTTTCTCACGTTCCCTCAGCCACATGGTACACGGAGCCCTGCTTTCATCGTGGCCACACACTGGCTATATGGCTTCTGTGTCATTTAGTCCTCTTTTATGAGAAGTGCCTTAAAGTAAGTAACCCTGTTATATCACCTCACTTCAGGCATGTTCTGAGTGGGTGAGAAAGCTTTCTCACTAATAATAACAATCTCTGACCTTCATATACAAAGAATCTCATGGACTGTCCACTCAGTGGGCTGGCCCACTCAGTTCCTTGAATTTGGTCTCTAACCAACAGCGTGTGCTGAGATGAGGGATGCACTGCAGCCGAGGGGCAAACGTCCAGCCCAGGATGACTCCATGACTGGCCCCACCAGGGCCCGCTCTGAACCCTGAGCAGATCCACCAGCCCAAACGGCTTACTGATGCTGCCAATTCCCTGTGTGTAAGAGACCGAAGAGCATCTCATTCAACCGTGCACCTACCTGCCCGTGAGGCACTTCTCCAAAATTCTCAGTAATAAAATGCCTACCTCTGTATAATGGATAAGAACATAGGTGGGAATTCCCTGGGAGTACAGTGGTTAGGACTCTGTGCTTTCACTGCTGAGGGCCCGAGTTCAATCCCTGGTCGGGGAACTAAGATCCCACAAACTGTGTGGCCAAAAAAAAAAGAACAAAGGTAGCAGATAAGAACATACAAAGGGTGGGCAAGGGACTGCTCCTTTTTATTTTAATATTGTTAAGTGTTACAAACCAAGCGAGAATGGTCTGTCAAAACAAAATACAATTCCGAAAGGAAATCCATACACCATGGAGCAGAGAATGGGAAAAGGGAAAGTTAATGGTGAAATGGGAAAAACCTTCGAGAAGTTCCAGGCTAATCCTTTCACTGTGCTTCCCACATTAGAAATCACGACTTACGAGCAGGTATAAACTTTCCTGATGCCTTTGTGCTTGATCCGGTTGTGACGGCACAGGCTGTGGGATGAGCTGAAAGACTTGTCACACTGGCGGCAGGGGTGCTTCTTCATTTGCTTTATTAGGAGAAAAGAGAAAGAAAGTCACTTGAGAGAACAAAAACGGAAACACTTTACAAATTAAAAACTCTTTTGTAAGAGTCTAAGTATCACTGCTACTTAGCAATACGGTAACAAGACCAGACTATTGCAAAGGTGTAACAGAGGACTTCCCTGGTGGTGCAGTGGTTAGCCTGCCAGTGCAGGGGACACGGGTTTGAGCCCTGGTCTGGGAGGATCCCACATGCCACGGAGCAACTAAGCCCGTGCGCCACAACTATTGAGCCTGCCTGCGCTCTAGAGCTCATGAGCCACAACTACTGAGCCCGTGAGCCACAACTACTGAAGCCCACGCGCCTAGAGCCAGCGCTCCACAACAAGAGAAGTCACCGCAATGAGAAGCCCGCGCACCACAGTGAAGAGTAGCCCCTGCTCGACGCAACTAGAGAACAGCTTGCACGCAGCAATGAAGACCCAATGCAGCCAAAAATCAATCCATCCATCAATTAAAAAAAAAAAAAAGTAACAGAAAGGGTGGGCAGGGCTGGAGTAATCATGGAGGGTTCATTTCTAGAGAACACACTTTATCATAAGACTAAAAAACTATTTTTTTCCTTAAAAACTTATGATTTTGATTCAACACAAACACCCAGACAGCTGAAAAGAAAACATTACATAAATTTTCTTTGCGTAAGAGATGTTATTTTTAAAAAGCAGATAACCTAGAAAAACAATTCTTCAGCAGATACCAAATAAAGCCATTAGTTAATTTGTTATATCCAGAAAGAACAGGTTTCCTTCTCCAATATGCCATTTTAAATTACATCTCTGGCTAATTTTAAACATTTTAGCTTCTCCCACTAATAACTAATTATTCCTTAAATAAGGAAAGAGTTTTCCAAGAATGCTTTCTGTTTTAAATGATACCATTTGGTTATCTCAAGAACACAAGTTTGAAATTACTTTGGGGATATTGCCTGTTGGTATATGTAGAGAGAGAGTGTGTGTGTGTGTGTGTGTGTGTGTGTTTGTGTGTGTGCGCGCGCGTATGTGTGCGTGCTGGGGAGGGACACTGAGAAAGCAAGAGAGCACGATCAAGAGATATATAAAAATCTGGGCTTCCCTGGTGGCGCAGTGGTTGAGAGTCCGCCTGCCGATGCAGGGGACACGGGTTCGTGCCCCGGTCCGGGAGGATCCCACATGCCGCGGAGCGGCTGGGCCCGTGAGCCATGGCCGCTGAGCCTGCGCGTCTGGAGCCTGTGCTCTGCAACAGGAGAGGCCGCAGCGGTGGGAGGCCGGCGTACCGCAAAAAAAAAAAAAAAAAAAAGAGAGAAATAAAAAACCAAAGTGAAAGCATCCCTCTTTTGC